TATCTATTTTATTCGCATATTTAACCTCCCTAATTCAACCCATTAAGGAAAAAAACCTTAATCCCATTAAGGTAAAACCTTAATCCCCATTAAGGTAATGCTTTCTATGATGGGAAATCTGAGGAGGCAGGAAGAGCATATGGAAAGCACCAAAAGCGGCAAGCAATTAACAAATAAACAAATATTATGAACTAAATACAAATTCAAATATATTCCTAAGATGCGAAACTGTCCAAAAAAGGTGTAATGACCGGGTCTCCACATTACCCAACAATTCTCCCACATTGAGACTGGGACATTGACTGCATCACCTATTGGCTGCATCATCTACTAGTTTAATCGATCTTTTCCTCAAACATGATATCCTCCACCCCTACAACTTAAGTTTCCCACGAGTAACATCCTCAGTTGACATATCACTGTCAAGGTAGCATTGTACCACCAAGCTCTTTCTTGGGTTACTCGTGTATATGCTTACAACTCTCACTGCATGAGCAATATCCTACTTCTGCTGAAAGCCCTGCTTACAACTCCCACTGCATGAGCAATATCCTACTTCTGCTGAAAGCTTTTTTCAACAAGTCAAGCATTGTACTTCTTACTGCCACCAAGCGCAGTCTTCACCCGGTACACCCACTTGTTGTGCAATGTCTTATTCCTTGGTGGAAGTTCTGTCAACTCCCATGTTTGATTCCCTGACAGAGAATATGTTTCCTCCTTCTTGGTCAGCTCTCACTTGCTTAAATTCTCATCTTGCAAGATTTCTTCATAACTCAGTGGTTCTCCAACATTTGTCTGTACAAGGTCCGATTTTCCTATCTTTGGCGCTGTACCACTTTTCAGGAAATTGATTTTCTTCTGCTTCTCCATAATGCATATCTGACACATGTGTCATCGCCTGAGTAAACATGTAGTCATATATAGTGTGTCAGTTTTCTTACCCCGAGCCAGTACTAATGTTCCGTTGGTAACCTTCCAGGTGTTATCTCAGACACTACTGAATGACCACCCTTATTGAGTTGCCCAACAAAAATAAGATTTTTCTTCAACTCAGGAACGTGTCTGACCATTTGCAAAGTCAATTTGCTCTTGTTAGGGAGAGCAATATCAACATCTCACATCCCCACCACGCCCAGAGTTTTTCCATCAGCTAAATATACCATCCCAAAGTTATCTGCAACATAGTTTTGTATTAACTCCCGACGGGAAGATGTATGGAAGGAATCCCCTGAATGCAGTATCCAGCCATCAGCAAGATGTATAGAAGGAATCCCCTGAATTCAGTATTCAGCCATCAGCAGCAGTATCCAGCCATCAGCAAAACTGTGAACTGTCAGCGATAGCGCATCCTGTATTTCTTCAGTTACAACATTAGCGTCATCTTTTTCCTTCTTCTTAGGATTCTTGCAGTTTCTTTTCATGTGGTCAGCATTGTCACAATTCAAGCAGGTTGTCTGCTGACTAAACTTTGATTTTGATCTTCCTCTATTTGAGTTTTTGTCATGTGATCTCCCTTTGAAATCAACATTCAGGGCCGAACTTAAACATGAGGTCTCGCTAGAATTCTTCTTGCGCACCTCCTCTGCCAAAATCAAATCACAAATATCAACATATTTCAGCTTAGATTTATCTGCAGAATTATTAACTGTCATCCTCATGGTTTCTCAGCTATTTGACAATGAAGCTAACAATTTCAGCGCACGTATCTCATCATCAAAATCTCACACGTATCTCATCATCAAAATCAATTTCAACAGACAACAACTGATTTGTGATAGTGTTGAAATCATTTAGGTGTTGAGTAACAGACAAACATTCCGCTTCAAATTGAATAACTTTTTCATCAGATGCATCTTGTTATTCGCCGATGCTTTTCATACATACCTGATAAAGCCGCCACGAGATCTGCAGTAGTCCTTTCTTTATGACGTTGTGGGCAACCGATCTAGACAAGGATAATCGTATAACCCCCAAAAACTGTCGATCTAACAAATTCTATTCCGCCTCGTTCATCTTTTCTGGTCGTTTTCCCAGTAACGGAAGATGAAGTTTCTTCCCATAGAGGTGTTACTCTATCTGCATCCTCCAGTAAGCAAAATCTGTGTCATTGAACTTCTCGATCCCCGATGTCATCACTTGTCTCCGCCTATCGTTCTTCCTTAGATTCGAACCCATGCTCTGATATCAGTTGTTGTGAAAAACGACGACAATAAAGCGAAAAATGGAACGAGTAAAATTGCACACAGAAAAATACCAGAGCGACACAGATTTACGTGGTTCGACAAATTTGTTTGCGTCCACAGAGCTGCAAAGGATTTTATTTCTTCGAGGAATTACACACGTTTAAAAAAATCTTTATTTTCTTCTCCCCCTTGCTCTCTCTCTCTCTCTTCCTCTCTTTCTCTTAGCTCTCATGAGGACTTGCTTGGCTTTGTTTGACTTGGCCTCTCCTTTAAGCCAAAAAAGACTATTTATAAAAACCATGAGAGCGGTAGGTGGGAGGTAGGTGAGCGATAGGTGGGATGTGGTAGGCAGTATGTGAGATTCTTAATTAGAAAGCTCATTAAATTTCGGTGGACCGGGACTCCACATTACCCAACAATCAAGTGGTCAGAGCAATAAATTTCTGGGAGACCACCAACAGGATCCCGATGAACAGGGCATGAACTCGTTCTACTCTAATCGAAGCTGAAGGGATCTCCACCCACAAGCATACAGGCATTAGTGATGACGAAATCACGTACAAGATCGCAATGAAGTCGCGAAAAGAGCTAGTTGGGTACAGAGCCTTCGTCATCCCGACGGGACCGCAGCGTACCGAAGTAACATCAAAATCATTGTGTATCGTGCCGCAAAACAGTCGTGGTGTCGTTGATCAAGCCAACGACGAGATCGCAACACCACTTATGCATCTTGATGTCTCCTTCTGAAGGTGACAAGATCGCAGCGAGCACTAAAACCCAACATTATATCGCAACAAGTGTCCTAGTCGCGCTTTGAGTACGAGAAGCCAATGACGGGATTACTAGCGATCAGCCCTCGCGAGAAAGTCACGATTTGAAGCTGACAAGAATTTTGCTTTCATGAGTAATGGTGAGCAAGAAAATAGATAGAAAATAGAGAAAGAGATGAGTCGCACCATATCTGAAACAGAGGAATGTTTCTCGATAATTGAGGAGTGTTTCTCGTCCATGCAGGGTGGTTTGAATGAAGATTCACAAGCCTAGAATAAATGATGATGAAGGTCGTGGACTTTCACACAAAATTGTCTCCACCCATCGCGGGATCAAGTGACGACATAGGGAACATATGCGAGCAACAACAATCAAAAGAACTTTAGGCGGATCAGGAACGATTGTATAAAGCGAAGGAATCAACCTACCTCTCAAATTGTAGGTGCTTAAGTATTCAAGTTGAGTTGTCTGATATTCTTGCAATAAAATATTTGTTTTCACTAATTTATGCGGAAAAATCTTCTCATATCATACCAGCAACCCACAATCGATAGTCTAATTAAACGACTAACCTCAATGTAATTTGCAATCCACTAAGAACCTATAACGACTAACAATCAACAGCCACACGCAACATGTAATGCTCATTGTAACCCGCAAGTCCTTCCGTCCTTGTCGTGACTATCTAAGTGCCATAAATTTCCTTTTCTATAGCCAGCCAAAAATAAATCATTATATTTTTTTTACATTTAACCCGAAGATTTTGAGAATGCAAAATATAATGCATCTAATTTACAATGCATTTCAAATGCACCAATATTAAATACTAGCAAATAAACAACACTATACTCAACTTTTGCTCTACTAATTCCATAGTGTTTTAACTTGAACATTGTCTACATCATTGTTGTTTTTAGAATAAAATTTAGACTATCATTTTCTCTTATTTATATATTTTCCAGAATAACCATCGACCCTAAAGATTTGTTCATATGTTAAGTTTTCATGTATAATTTCAATCTATGGGACAAAGCTGTACCTAAATACACAAACAAATACAATATTAAGGGAATTGTATGTCCCTTAAATAAGGAACTCTTTACAAGATTTCGATAGAGAACTCTTAGGTATTTTTCCCCAATAGATTCCTAATCTTTCCAAATAAACAAAAAAAAAAAAAAGCAAATGTGTTTTCTGAGGATAGCTTCGTAAGAAAAATCCCGGCAAATAAATAGGCAGTAGGTTAGTAAATATGCGGACAATACAATATTAATAGAATTGCATGTCCCTTGAATAAGGTAATCTCTACAAGATTTTAATAGAGAGCTCTAAGGTATTTTTTTCCTAATAGATTTGTACACTTTTCAAATCTACAAAAAAAATAATAATAAGCAGAGGTATTTTTTTCCCAATAGATTTTTACACTTTCCAAATCTACAAAAAAAAATAATAAGCAGCTTTGATTTCTGGTGATAGCTTGATAAGAAAAATCTTGGCAAATAAACAGTCTACATCATCGTTGTTTTTAGAATAAAATTTAGACTATCATTTTTTCCTATTTATATATTTTCCAGAATAACCATCAACCCTAGAGATTTGTTCATATATGAAATTTTCATGTATAATTTCAATCTATGGGACTAAGGTGTACCTAAATATGCAAACAATATGATATTAAGAGAATTGTACGTCCCTTAAACAAGGAATTCACCACAAGATTTCATTTGAGAATACTTGAGCATTTTTTCCCAACAGATTTGTACACTTCCCAAATCTACAAAAAAAATAAATAAGTAGATGTGATTTATGGTGATAGCTTCATAAGAATATCCTGGCAAATAAATAGGCAGTCCTACAAAATACGCAACTCTGTGACAAAAAGGAATTTTAGAAATCAACCTAGAACCACGAAAGCTTTTTTATAGCAGTTACCAAATAGCATAGCCCGTTTAAGGATCAAGCCTCAAGGACGATATTTTAAAGTTTTCAAGAACTATTAATATAGGGTTTTGGGAAACTTAGTTTTAGAAATGAAACAAGCCATACCAGTTGAAACGTCATGGACAATCCTGTAGTCAATAGCCCTTTTGCTAGAATTCCCACCATCTACACTTTCACTAACCCCGCTTCTTGGCTGCTCGTGTCCCATGGTTTGAAGGGAAGCCTTCCGCAAAAGAGCTTCTTTGGTCTTACTGGCTGCTTTAGATTCTTCATGTTCTTCCTCTCCTTCAGAGAAGACTGAAGGACTAGACCAGCCAGTTGAATTTGCCTCGCCTTTACTCTTCCGTGCAAACTTTAACAGTCTTTTTAATCCCTTTGGGGCATCCTTTTGATACACCAAGGAAGGAGGATTCTCAGCATTTCCCCATTCAATTATTTCTGGTTCGCCATTCTCAGCCTGCAGCATTTGTGACAATGAATGGCGAACACGTGAATTTGATGACACAACCGGACCAATCATGGGAGAAACTCCATGCAGCCCGTTGTTAAAAGATGGAGAATATTCATGGTGTTCTGTTTCCACCCACGCAGCTGATGAGATACCCAAATCCTCATCACGTTGGACCTCTGCAATAAAATGATCCACCGAGTTCTCGATTTCATTGTCAGGTCCTGTTACACTCCCATCTACATTCTCTGCGGTTTCAATATATATATCATTATCTAGTGGAGCTGTGAAAGTTACATCAACCACAGTTGTTGGTTGAATAAGATCATCCTCCATTACCTTAATGGTTGACACAACCGGTGTTGTATTGGGCTCATTTTCTTCCGGGTGTATGAGATTTACGCTGCTTTTTGAAGAATCGCCCATCTTCTCAACCCTAGCATCCTTCGCTTTAGCAACTGGAAGCCCAATACCAGGACTGATTCCAGAACTTTTTCTCAAGAAGGGCTTTGATTCCACAGGAACTACACTGCTTTTCTTTGTGTGCTTGTTGGGAACAGTTGGTTTAGATAATTCACCACAATCTTCCCCAGATAATGGACTTTTTGGTTTCCCAGCTTTGCTGTTTTTGGCTACTGCTTTCAGTTGTTTATCTTCTTGCCCTTTCATGCTTGGCTTAGCAAAGGTTTGGAGACTTCTATCACTCTTATTTCCTTTCGCACGTCCCAGTGGTTTCTCAGACGTGGGACTTGGCTGACGAGGAGAATTTGATGGATGGGGTCTTTGGCGGCTTGGCATGCTGCTAGAAGATACCACAGGAGAGGTTTTAGCTGATGGTGTTCCACCCTTTCTCTTCAGAGGTCCTGAAGGCAAAGCGCTACCAGTTTTTGGAGAAGATAATTTAGGTGAGCCATTCTTTGCACCGGTTGGCCTAGAAAGTTCCTTCTTCAACAGGACCGGTGGAGAAGAATTTCTCCTTGGTTTTTGAAGGAGTTTTGCAGGTTCTGGCTTCACCGCAGCCTTAATGGTTTTGGATGCCATAGCTGCTTTGTTCTGTTCCAGTGTTTCTTGCATCACCTTAAATTGTTCTTGTTTTACTGCATGGTTTCTAGCATTCTCAGCTCGAAGTTTCTCATCCCTTTTCTCCCTGTATTGACAGTAAAATCCCCCCCTTTGATCTATAGATGTATCCATCAACCCATCATTACCGATTTCGGAACCATGGCATTTACTAGGCCTGCTGCTCTCCAACACTTTCATAACCATCTCATTCAGTTCTGCCTCCTGTTGCTGATTCAATTCAGCCGAGGTACAATCTTCAACTTCAGAGGTAAACGGTTCAGCTGATGAAGAGAG